CACGCACGGGGAGGGGGGGAGGAAGGTGGGGGATCGGTAACCCCCCCCCCCCCCACGGAACCCCCCCTCCGCGGCAGCCCGTGGGCCGGGTGAGGCGGGAATGGTACAGTCCGGGGGAAGCCCCCTGGAGCGGCGGCGTGGGGGGGGGGCTCGGCTGGGGCGTCCCTGAGGGGCTGGGGAGCTCTGAACGGGGGTCCCTCAAGGCTGGGGAGGCTGCGAGAGGGGTCCCTCACTGCTGGGGGAGCCATGAGCGAGGGTCCCTCAAGGCTGGGGGGGCTGCGAGAGGGGTCCCTCAAGGCTGGGGGAGCTCTGAGCGGGGGTCCCTCAAGGCTGGGGGAGCCATGAGCGGGGGTCCCTTAGGGCTGGAGAGAGCTGTGAGCGGGGATCCTTCAGGGCTGGGGGGACTTCGAGCGAGGATCCTTCAGGACTGGAGGCACGGTGGGGAGAGATTCCTGAGAGCTGGCGGGTCTGTGAGGGGGACCCTCAGGGACGGGGGTTTGTGAGGGGGGTCCCTCAGGGACCGGGGTCTGTGAGGGGTTCGCTCAGGGCTGGGGGTTTGTGAGGGGAGGCCCTCAGGGATGGGGGTTTGTGAGGGGGTCGCTCAGGGCTGGGGGTTTGTGAGGGGGTCGCTCAGGGATATGGGGGTTTGTGAGGGGGTCGCTCAGGGATGGGGGCACGGTGCAGCTCCGTCAGGGCTGGGGGTTCCTTCAGGGCTGGTGAGGCTGTGAGGAGAGTCCCTCACATCACAGCGTGAGAAGCACTGCGCGGATGTCACACTGCAAGGGGGGACCCCCACAAGGCTGGGAGAGCCCCTCGGGGCTGGTGGGCTGTGAGAGTCCCTCACGGCGTGAGGGGCATTGTGGGGGTCTCACAGAGTAAGGGACACTGTGGAGGGGTCCCCACAAGCCTGGGGACCCTCATGGCGGGAGGCCTCTGGGTGGCAGGTGGTGCCCAGCTGCTGCTGACAGGCTCCAGCCTCTTGCTGCCTGTCCTCCCTCCTGCATCCAGCAAGGATCCGGAGACCTTCTTGTCCTGCCTGTGGATCCCCAGCGTTTCAGGGACCATGACATCCCCCCTGGCCAGTGCAGCCCCATTTCTCCCATTCTTGAGGCAGTGCCTGAGTTGTGCTCCCTGTGGTTCTTGCTGGGGTTCTGCCTTGTGAGCTGGTGAGGACAGTAAGGACGAGGCTGCCCTCGCTCTGGGCTTCTTGGCGTGGCTGGCATTGCACTCCTGTGAGTTATTTACTAAAGTTGAGGTCCGTGTTATTCTTTTTCCCCAGCTGTTTTCCCCACATGAGGTCCCTTCCTGCTCAAGAAACACCGGGGTCTTTATCAAAAATTTTACCTGTGTGGTGATAATAACTTAATGCTGACAGGCTAATGCCGTGTTAGGCTGGTCCAAACCCAAACAATTTGGAGCCTGAAGGGGCTGGAAATGGTTCAAGTGGTATTAAGGATTCACAGAGATGCTGAGAAGCACTTTAGATAAGCTGTTCTGTTGCTCTGTGTGTGTGTGTTAAAATCCAAGCATTGACCAGTTTCTGACCTCTTGTTGCTTTTGCATGAGTCGTGTGTGTTGATACCATGATGTGATAACTTCTAAAGTGCCTGGGATTCTTGTGCTGCAAGCCTCACATGTGTGTGGAGAAGATTAAGTAACTTTGTTTCCTGAGAGGAGTGTCACATGCAGGTGATTATCTCAGATATTTCTGTTCTCATGGAGAAATCTATGATATCCGAGATAGTAACATCTTGGAACGTGGGTTGGCGGGTTTCATCAAGTACTGAGTAATCTTTAACTCGTTTCTATGCAGAAATAGCATCAGAAATGAACCTCAGTCTGATTATGTGATGATGGGGAGAGAGATTCATCTCCCCCTGACAAACCCCTTAACTTCACGTACCATCTGAGAGCCCAGTTGTTATCATGCAGTGTTATCTGTACCCACTCAGGCCTTTGGGATGCCTCTGCTTTTCCATTTCTCCTTCCAGAAATGGAAGCTTGCATGGGTTCAGCTCGGTGTTCAGGGATTTTGGAGCCAGGATAATTGCCTGCCTTCATTGAGCAAATTTTTTCCGGCAGCTCAGCTGTGGTACAGACAGTTCTTGAACTTCTTGATGTCGTGTTCCAGAAGGGAAGTCCAGAGCAGTTTTCTGGAATTCTCTGATTTTCCAAGTGGGGACTGTTAGCTCTCTTGTTTGTTTACACGTGAGGATGGATTTTGGCAGTTGTCGAGTCAGAGCAAAAGCAGCAAATGCTGGGAAAAAGTAAAATGTGATTGTTGAATTGCCTTCACTTAGGCTGGGTCTCAAGGATTTGGAGGGTTGTTTGTGTGCTGTTAAGATGGGCTGGGAAAGATAATCATCATTATCATCATCATCATCTTCCCTTGAATATTTGGATCTCTGGGACTGTTTAGCTGATGAGCTGGATGTTGTTGATGCATTTCCAAGTTTTGTTTGCTTATGGGGAACCAGAGCCCTTACTGAGCTTGCTTCCCATGGCTATTAATTCTTGAAATGCCATGACACCTTCAGCTTAAATTTTTGGTGTCTCTCCTTCTGGCTGTGTATATTTTATGTGGGTTTTTTTTTTTGTTTTTCCCTTCCAGGCTCTGTAGCCTGATTTTTTCTCCTTGCTCCTGTTCCCTCTCCCAGTTGCCTTGCCTGTTTTCCCAGGGCATTCCTCCTGCTGCCCACAGTAATGTGTTCACCAGGCTGGGAATTGCAGCTAACCACAGATGTTACCTGTTTGATGCCAAGATCACGGCAGCCCTTTGTGAATTGATTCCTGGGCCAGAGACAATTTTTCTGCTTTGGAGACCCCACAGGAACAGTGAACTGGAAGGGACCTCGTGGTCATTGGCTCCAGTCTCATCACCAGAGATTTATTCCTGCAATCTGTGCTAAATACCTTTATTTTTGAGAAGGAGCAGACTGTGAACATTTTGAATCAGCTCCTAACTCTGGGTGGAATATTTGGTGTTACTCCTAATGAGCAAAACCCCCAACAAGCAAAATATTGGGGTTTTTTTGTTTGTTTTCATGTGAAAAAGACAAGGCTTGTTTAGATAAGCTACCCTATACTGAAAAGATAAGAAATATATCTGCTGCTGTGTGGCTTGGCAGTGGGGAAAGCATTCCCATGGGATTTGGGGGATGCAGCTGGGGCCTCCAGCTGCCTCCTACAGCCCGTGCTGACACAGGCTGTGCTTGCTGGGCTGAAGCTAGCACGGGTGTGAGCTGCAATCCTCAAAAGCAGACTTTTCTTCTTGGGGAACAAGTGCTGTTCACTGGGGCTTGTGGTGGTTGAGTTTGACTCTTGCAGCTCGGCACATGCAAATCGTGGTGCTGGATGCTGCCTGACAAGAGGCGCAAAGGCAGTTTGAGGTTTTGGGGTTTGTTTAGGAAGGATAAAGACAGAAGGATGTGCAGCTCCGTGGCTTGCAGCTCATCGATCCCCGGGCACAGGAAGCCTGGCCCACCAGGTAAATTGATGTTATTACAGCACTTGCAGGGCCAGTTTTGAAGTGCAAATTGAAATCCCGTTTCTGTGAAGTCATTGCTGTTTGTTAATTGGTGCCTGTTACCGGCAAGAGCAGTTTAGAGGTCTGACTAATCCATCTGGGATGAAAGAGGGCAGGTTTAGGTTAGATTTTAGGAAAGAATTCTTTGCTGGGAGGGTGGTGAGGCCCTGGCACAGGGTGCCCAGAGAAGCTGTGGCTGCCCCTGGATCCTTGGAAGTGTCCAAGGCCAGGTTGGACAGG